CAGCACCCCGTCAACACGAGCAAGGACACGAGTTGCCAGATCATTGCACACAAAACCAACTTGAATTAATTCAAAACAAAAATACTAGCGAACCTGGCGGTGAGGGGCGGAAGGTGGACTAAAATTCTATTACAGAGAACCACATTATTTTAATTCATATCTTCGGAGAAAGTCGTCTGTAACTTCGTTTGTGCCCTAACCGAACCATCGAATCTTACATGTTCGTTTGGCTGCACTTTTTGACAGCTCGTTTGGCTGCATAAAACAAATCTTCGCAAGTCTTTGTATAAAGTGTTTTTAGTACGATGGTACTACCATAGAGGAAACTCTAAGACCACTGGGTCCCGAAGAAAATCATTATTATTTTTGGCTCACTCAGTACCAGAACAACGGTCCCAAGCAGTCCCAAGCTATTTCACTCACCCCTGCATGTTCTGCATGAATCCACACACCCCTGATGTTAGCTGTCAAACTTTCATAGCGAATCAAAACAAACATAGTGTAGTAATAGAATTTCAACTAGAATAGGGTACGTTATTCGTTTGCTTGGGACCAATAGGCTACTAAAGTGGTGAGCCAATTTAAAATCGTTAGTTTCGTATTGATTGTTGGTACTAAGGGGGAAGCATTGTTATCCAGATTTAACATTTTCGAATAGGTAACTTAAAATGGAAAATAAAGAAAAATGCTACAAACATGTTTTTGTTGTTCCATGCCGATTTTAATTCAATCTTTCTTTCATTAAGCGTTAAAATCTCGTAAAACTTCAATCAATTGTGTATATTTTAAATATTGTCATTCATATGGCCATAGATTTGCTGTCATGTCGTTTGTCTCGTATTCGTCCGATTTTTTGGGTTGTTTTCTCTGTGGACAGCAACATCGTCACGGATTCATCACCGCCATCGCTGAAATCGTTCTTTTTACGTTTTCGCTGACTCAGTTGGGCTACCGTCTTGTAAACAGGAACAGCACTTTTTATTTTTCGCACCTTACCGCTGGAATCCATGTACAGCTCACATTCGGCAAAATGCAACTAAAATTGTATAATTTAATGAGATAATAACTCTTTTCACTATTTTGTCTAAATACTAACACTGCACAAACGATGACTTCCCAAAATTTTTAAATCCTCCGGAAGCTCACAAAACGATAGCCACTTTTTGCGCTCTGATTCGCTGCGAGGAAAACGAAAAAACGCCACGAAACGCATTCCACTTCGGGAGTTATTTCCACAATATTTATAAAAACAGTTCATTTCCACTGATTTACAACGCGTTGGATGATTTTTTCGATTAAAAAAAAAACGGTTGCCTGATGACGTTGAAGCGAACATTTTTTTCTACGATATCAAAACAAACATTATCAAGCGTTCATGTGAAGTTTGCATGATTTGCAGTGAGGCCAGTTTTTAAGTAGCTTTTGTTGTTATTTTCGCTGGTTGCTAGTTCTACCATAGAGGTAACTCTAAGACCACTGGGTCCCGAAGAAAATCATTATTATTTTTGGCTCACTCAGTACCAGAACAACGGTCCCAAGCAGTCCCAAGCTATTTCACTCACCCCTGCATGTTCTGCATGAATCCACACACCCCTGATGTTATCTGTCAAACTTTCATAGCGAATCAAAACAAACATAGTGTAGTAATTGAATTTCAACTAGAATAGGGTACGTTAATCGTTTGCTTGGGACCAATAGGCTACTAAAGTGGTGAGCCAATTTAAAATCGTTAGTTTCGTATTGATTGTTGGTTCTACGTTCTACTTGCGTTGAACGGATTCAATTCTAGTGATCCAGCTAGCATGGAAAGGGCACCAAACAACTGAACTTGACTCCAATAAGGATCGCACAAGCGAGCAGTAAAGTGACCTGAGACATAGCGGGTCACGTCGGCAATTATGAAAATAAAGCCCAATTGTCGATTAGCTCTGGAGATGATGTCATTGTAGTGGATTCTGAAAGTGAGTCTGCAGTCCAAGGTAACTCCAAGATCCTTTATGTGCTCTACACGAGCAAGACAGCGTCCGTAGAGAACATAGTCAAACATGATTGGTTCGATTTTTCGGTGATAGGAAATAATGTTACATTTTTCTATGCTTAGACTCATCAAATTTCTTGAGCACCAGTCAGCAAAAATACCTAACATATTCTGAAGATCCCAGCAGTCCGAGAGGCTTTTAATAATTTTGTAGATTTTCGTATCGTCTGCATAGAAAACGCGGCATCCTGATGGTATCAGCAAGGCGACATCGTTTAAAAAGATCGAAAATAGTAGCGGTCCTAGGTTACTGCCTTGCGAGACTCCCGAGTTGTTTGAGAAAACATCCGATTCTGACGCGCCAATCTTGACATGTACATAGCGATTCACCAAGTAAGATCTGAACCAATCCACAGCAGTTGACGAGATGCCAAGTATCTCCAGCTTGGCCAGCAAGATATTATCATAGAGGAAACTCTAAGACCATATATTATGGTCCACCGTGTCAAATGCAGCTTTTAGATCCATATACGCAGTATCGAATTGCCATCCTGAATCCATGCATCGCAGACAGTTAGAAGTAAACTGCACCAGGTTCGTGGACACGGAGCGCGTCGGGTAGAAACCGTGTTGTTCTGTATCGATATAATTTTTGCAGCGTGCGAACAGAGCACCATTTATGATAATCTCGAACAGTTTTGAGGAGGCACACAGGGAGGTGATTCCACGATAATTTATGACATTCCGTTTATCTCCTTTTTTGTGCACTGGGAACAGATAAGAAAGTTTCCAGCGGCAGGGGAACTCACATTGCTGTGCCGAGAGATTGAATAGCCTCGCAAGTGGAAGGCAGAGATTGGCTACACAACGTTTTAGAACTGATGACGGAATGCCGTCAGGTCCGGAGGCGAACGAGAGCTTCAGTTTGCGTGTTGCGGCTATCACCATGTCTTCTGAAATGCGCGGAATAACGAAACTAAACACATCACGTGGCATCCCAACAGCAGCATCCAGCACTTGTGTTGGCGAAGCGGAGAAATCGTTGAACACTTGCTTGAAATGACGAGCAAACAAGTCACATTTTTCTCTTTCACTATTAGCCGAGTCATTCCCGAGAAACATGGAACAAGGCAACCTGGATTCCTTCCGTTTAGAGTTGACAAACGACCAAAAACTTTTCGGATTCGTGCGAAGGTTCGCTTCCGTGCGTCTCACGTGTCGATTATAGAGAAAACGATTGTAATTTCGATAACTACGACTCGCAAAATTGAACAGTCGTTTGTAGTACGGCGAGCGAGAGTTACAATACATACTTTCGGAGGGCGGCAGAGCGTTGATGTTTCGAGGGGTGAATCGATTAGCTTGGGACCGAAGATAGTACCATAGAGCTGAGCCAAAAAGTTGAGCACGTTTCTTTGGGACCTTCTGGTCTTAAAGTTACATCTATGATGTTAGTATGTCAGCTTTGAGTCTAGAAAAACGGCTAATAGCGGCAGTGCGAAACCGAACTTTTTGTCAGTGCGAACGTCAACCTGAGCTAGGCTTTAAAAACAAACGAGCAAACTAACGTTTGTCAGAAAACAAGCAGACCCAATCTTGATACCTACCCGATCCAGGTTGGAACTGAATAATAAACGAATTCGCTATAAGTCTTTCACGCAATGCACCCGTTCGATAGTCGTGCCTAGTAGTTTGTAGGGTTGAAAATAATCGGTTGATTCTTGCGTGAGAATGTAATGACTGTACATAGCTGGGTTGACCACCAGTCGGTTTAGACTACACCACTCAGCAAAAATGTCAATCTGATTTTGGAGAGAACGGCAGTCGGCGAGTGAGCGGATGCGCAGAAAAACTTTCAGATCGTCTGCAAACGATAATCGTGCCCCTGCGATAACATGGTGAACGTCGTCGAAGTAAAGGAGAAATACCAATGGTCCCAGATGGCCTCCCTGAGGTATACCGGACTTTGCGCAGAAGCTTGCTGAGCGATAAGTACCCAAAGAAAACTCAAAAGATTTCCACCGATCCCTAGCCTATCAAGCTAAGCGATCGCAATTTCGTGGTTCAGCTTATCGAAGGCTGCCGTAAGATCTGTGTAACGTCCGTTTGGGTCCGAGCAATCAAACTGTCTGTGATGTAAGACGTTAGGCACAGCAGGTTCGTAGTTGTGGAACGCCCAGTTATGAATCCGTGTTGATCTATACTTAGATATTGCTTGCAATGCGCATTTAGGAGCTCTATGACAACCAATTCAAAAAGTGTTGATACAGCACACTCAGCGACGTGATTCCCCGGGTTTACGACGCGTTTGCTTCCCTTTGAATGGACAGGAAACATATCCACAGTCTTTCAGCAAGACGGAAAGATGCCGCTGGAAAGAGAGAGCTGGAATATGCGGCGCAGTGGATCTAAAAGACAAGTGATGTTCTTTTTAAGAATAATGGACGGAACACCATCGGGTCCAGCCTTAGCTGAAGTCTTAAGTTTAGATGCTGCTCTACAAATCGTATCTGTAGTGGCTTCGACCATGCTGAGCGTTTGGTTGACCAAAGAAACATTACTAGCCGCGGAAGTAATGATATTAGCGGAGAATTGCTCGTCTTCAAACACACTAGCAAATTTGGTTGAGAGCAGGTTGCAAATGTGTTGTTGATTGCCAGCAGTTTTACCATTAAAAATCATGGAAGAGGGTAAGCCGACTTCCCTGCGTTGCTCATTTACGAAGTTCCAGAAGGATTTCGGGTGTGATTTTAGTCGCCGTTGAATCCTCCTTTGATAGCGTTGAAAACCGAGACGACTTAACCGCTTATACTCGTGGTTTAGTTTGACATAGTAGCATTTCAGCGGCAGTGTGCGGAGTTTAGTAAAGTTGTGCAATTCACAAACGTCAGAGAAGTCTATAAGTCACCAAAAATAAAAACGCATACGTTGCTTAAAGGTGCTTATTATACCCCTTCTCCCTCCACCTAGTTCATCAAGGTTTGGCATTTCTTTCGCAGTTCTTTCGAATACAAAGTGCCAATTTTCTTATCCTCGGTTTTTTGTACCAGTAACTAGTCTTCATTTCTTTTTTATTAACGGTTCTTAATTTTACATTACCCACCCATTGTTCTTAAGTGCTGGCGGTAATTCAAAAGCAGATTAATAACGAATCCCGAATTTTGGTAGTGTATGTTTCGTTTCCTATTTAATTATAAGTTGTTATTTTGCACCGGAAACACTCCACGGACGCAGCGAAAACAAAAAAGGCGATCACACAATGTCCAGCCGACCGGAGGGTTGTGTTTTGTGTGTTATCACAGTTTCATCTCTACGCGCCCAACAAACGCAACCGATCCCCGTGTGGTCTTCCCAGCCGCGGTACGTAATCCTCCCAAATTAAGTGTCCCGTGGGGGGTAGTGAGACAACCACACGTATCGGAGATCGGCGGCGTCCGTTGGCCTCCGGGTTAGGAATCGCTTTCCTAAGGTCGCCGCATCCATGGAGGTGACTGCTTTCGTGAAGTTGTTGTTAACGAGATCCCTTTTTTTACAGATGTTCGTAGCCCCCCGGGTGTTGTTCTTCGGTCACCACGCGTGTTTCGATAACTCTAGCAGCGTCAGTTTCGGTTCAAACATCTAGAGCTTTGAAGTGTCTTCGCTTTACTGTTTTTTGTCCTAACTTTTTCTCGATTTTTCTGTTTTTCTTTTAAATTCAGACTGATGTTGATCTTCGGAGGTTCGCACTATTAGGAATATCCATGAAATAATTACGGAATGATGGTCGGGCGGGGAACGTGTCGCCGAAGTTTAGTTCGATGGCAGCTTTAGATTTGTTTGTTTTTCTTCACATGAACTCGAATCGAAACAAGATCCAGACCATTCCCGGCTAATACTTTCGTCCAGCATAATTCTTTCATGGCTAATCGCTAGGGTCTTAACGCAATTGACCTCCTCCTTCTCTCTCTCTCTCTCTCTCTGTCACTTCTATAATATTCGATGGCAGGTCGTATTGGTAATTCCTAATATATCTCTCTCTCTCTGAGATGTAGGTTTGTTAAAGCGGCGCTCGCAATAATTATTATTGCGGCGGCGAAGTTCGCGATGTTTTGAATGCTTCTCGGTTTAATTCGAAGAAAATTCTTATTTCCAACACACTTTTGTTTTCTCTGTTATTTACGGATTTATATTGATGTTACTTTAGAGCATTAAAAAGATATTTTTTTCTTATACGCTTTATTTTAAAGATGGTGGTTGTTTTGTGTGTATTGCTTAGAAAGCGAAGAGCAGCAAGAAGGCCATCATCAAACAGAACAGACCCATGGCTTCAGACAGGGCGAATCCCAGGATAGCGTAGGAGAACAGCTGCTGCTTCAGCGATGGGTTTCTTGCGTAGCCGATGATCAGGGAACCGAATACTGTTCCGATACCGGCACCTAGAGGGAGAAGGAGGGGGTAGAAGAACGGAAACGATTAGTACACATTGTATATAGTGAAGGCGTGGGAGGAATAAAGGGTGCTCTCTGTGTCCGGTGCCACCGAAATTAGTCTAACACGCTAGTAGGATGAATACCGTCAACTCGGCATCGTAAAGTTTCGACGATCAGAACGCAAGTTCACCGGTTGTTTTTAAGAAAGGTTACAACATTTTAGAAAGTCAATCTCTTGTATTGAGTAATCTTTCGTAGAATTTGACTAGCATAAACTGCAAGCCATTAATTTAGAATTCGTTGTTTTCACGGTTTGTGACCTTACTGTTTCAAATGCTCACTCTTGTTTTCTGGAGTAACTTTTTAATCGTGTAAAACAACAGATCCGTTCGAAACGGATTTCCCAAACAGTAAATATTTGTGTATGGGAAATCCGTTTCGAACGAAATAGAGGTGTATATTAGAATGCCATGCCAATGCAACATTTGTGGAAGGCTCAATCGCGTTAGCTTTACTGATCCGATAATTCATTGTTTGTAACAAAATTCACTTATTTCTATGTCTAGTAGGAGTTGGGCCAAATACTCTTGGGCTGACCCGCGGTTAGAGGGGTACATTGTCGAAGGATAGGATCAGGGGAGGAGCTTGGGGGTGTGGTTTCGTTGAGAGCGATGTCGCCAGTATGAACGGTAGTACGGTTCTAGATTTGTCTAGAGTTCGACCGGCTATACGAAAACGAGCATATCTATATAGAACTGGAATTAGGGCGTAACAGCTTTTGTAAACAATGACTTCTCTCGATTATTTCTAGGAATTCAAGGCGCACCCATGCAAACCAAAATAACCATCGGGTATGGGAAGACTTCCCCTACGTGATGGTGATATTGATTTACTTGGGCGAGTCTTGAGTTTCTAGAAATCATCGAGAGAAGTCATTGTTTACGCCCTAATTCCAGCTCTATCTAGATATACAAAATGTTTATTGCCTCAAAAATGCTAAATTTCGCTTCAATTGGCCATGATTTGGAGTGGCGCAAAATCGTCAAAGTTTGAACTTTGTTCATCTGAAAAATATCACTACTTGAATTTTAGCAAATCAAAATTTTTGTTTGATGCCAAATGAACTTAAAATGCATGAAACGTCGAGATCTAAATGTAAATAAACTCTTGTCAAAAATTTACTTTCTGGGAATCGAAAATCGAGTTAACACTAGATCTGAACGTTTTATGCATTTATAAGTCATTTGGCATCGAACCAAGCTTCGATTTTCGAAATTTCATGTATCTTCTACCTTGTTAAATTTTCAGGTGAAAACAGTTCAAACATTGACCATTTAGCGCGCCACTGATAATTTTGCATAGGGTCTTTTCTCGAGGCAATTAAAATTTTGTATATGATTGGTTTGAAAAATTCGACGGTCACTTTTTCCCAATATATTTCATTGGCAACTTAGCGTATATTTTTAGAATAGGGTGACAGGACAAATGGTCGAAAGAATGGAAATTCCGGAGAGTGATTCGAGATTAGCATAACAGGATAAATTGAAAATTGTAAGGGTATTATGTGGTTAATTCCATGAGGAGGATTCTGGGATAATTCAGAAGAGAGTTGAAAGCAACTTCAGAGAAGAACTCTAAACAAAGGAGTCGAATACGGAGGATAATTCTGGAGAAATTCTGAGAGAGTTCCAAGGAAACTTAGAGGAGAGGATTCAAGGGAATTCCAAGAGAATGCATCCAGAAAAAAATCCAAGGGAATGCTGAGCAAAATATCCAGTCCATGCCGAGTTGAATTTCTAGGTACTTCTGTTGGGTATATCAAGGGACTTCTAAAAGATGTCCCAACGGAAATGTTCGCAGTATTATGAAGGGTTATACAAATTGAAGCGAATAGTTGTTGTGAGAATTATCAAGAGTATTATAATCTCTATTTTAATAAATTTTTGTGGAAATTATTAAGAATTTGAAGGGAACGATTTCCGAGGGTTGGAAGAGAATTCAGAACCGATTTCTTCACCTGCGCTTTAGCCCAAGGTATTTCGCTGTGTTTCCATACTCTCGCAAACACTTCGAAAGTGCACAAATATTAGCTTCCACGACACGTACTACAATGAAACTGTTACTCCACGCTTGCTGCGTTGCAGCATACATGCATTAGCAATATCATGTGGAATGGGGCTCTAATTTCCGAGATTTGCGTAATTGAAAATTCGAGGAGAAAGTCCATTTATAGCCTACGTGGCGACCATTTGTGGACTCTACAAGGAATCACCTTAAACCAGTTTTAGCTTTATGAGTAAATCTGGTTTAAGATTTAAACTGAGGTGAAGAAATCGTCCCGTATCGTGGAACAATGCTCAGAATTCCTTAGGAATTAACCTCAGAATTCCTTAGGAACTAACCTCAGAAATTCCTATGAATTTTCATTAAAATTTCCTTTGAATCCTTTTCAGGGTTTACTTAAACTTCTACGCAGAATTTCCTTGTATTCTCCTCAGGCACAAAGAGGAGATGCAAAAAGTGTTGAATTTTCCATCATCGAAAGCACTGCTTTAAGATTGTTGTTTCTTTAACATTGTCAGCGTAGGGTAAACGCTCCTATAGCGTTTCCCCTACTGCCTATAATCGAAGACTACAAATAAAGAAGACTGGCAACTGTTCCCTTCTCCCATACAAATGTCAACCGTCACTGATAACAGCGCCTCTGTCAGTCAAAGGTGGAACTTCGAAGCACAAGTGTTAGTGAGACTGCTCATAAACAGTGACTGTGTGTGTGACCTAATGTCACCGAAACGAATAATCATAAGTCATAACACGGTACTCTCGTTGTTGTTTTTGTTTTGCTCTACAAAATTTCACGGCAATTTGTATCCTAATCACAGCCAGCCGGTGGTTTTCCAACTTCAAACCGAAAAACTTGTCATGGTGGATCAAGTAAAGGATTGAAACTCGGATCGATACCTAGGTGAAAGTAACTTTTACTGATGTACGATGAACCGAAATATTGTTTACTTTGCCTGTTGGAAGCAATCAATTATAAGGAATTGGCGGCTTCCACCTCCGTCGAGTGAACTACCGTCATTCGAAAGCTGCTGAAAATTCGAGGATTAAAAAAAAAGAAAGATCCGGTACCTACATCACGATCCAACGGAAGGTGTAGCAGGATCTAATGTTGGAGAAAATGAAAGTTTGAAGGACTACAATTCCAAACGGTACGTATTAATAAAGAGTATTTTTCCATGTTAGATGTTGTCAGAACATGAAACCACCGGATAGTGATCCTCTATGCTTTAACAATTCTTGGAATCGACCGACCCCTTCTAGAGAATGATAACAACAGCGTCGGATTGGCCAGAGACATTCAAATGGTCAGCGAGTGCTGTGCCAAGTTGCCGAGCGTCACAACTTAACTCCCCCCGCTGCACAGTGGCACGAATATGAATAAAGACGGTCAAAAATATTTTCTACCCTTTTTCGACGTTTTAGAGACTGGGTGTCTTGGGAGAAGTTGCTCAAAATTATATCTCGCATCTTTTGAAATAAATACCTGAATAATCTTTAAGCTAGTATTACACATCCAAATTCTAACTTTTTTCAGTTACGAGATAATGGTTCCATGTCTTGGACAAAGTTGTAGAGCAGTTGATTTTATGAACATTTGCTATAGACTCCAAATTTCTACATCATAACTCTGTAGAGCTATAATAGATTTTCTTTTAAGACTACCTTAATATTGGTTTTTTGAGTTCATTAGTGCTTTTTTCAAATTTGATCAATTTGTCATGTTTTAAGAAATTGTTGGCATCATTAAAATATACAACTTTGCTGAATACACCAATGCTTTTCATTGAAATCAATGTGATATACAGCCCATCAAGCGTTTTTGTGACGTCATATTCAACGGCTCGAAAAGAGGGTGGGCGGGCCCTGGCGGGGTCTAAAACTGGTTGTATTTTGAAGATTACCTTATAAAATAGTACTTCTGAAAATTTCAGCGTTGGGTACTGAGGGGTACCTAGCCAAATCTCGATTCGAAAATGTCAATATCATATACAGCCCATCGGACGGTTTTGTGACGCCATATTGAACGGCCCGAAAAGATGGGAGGCGGCCCCTGGCAGGAATTAAAACTGATTGAATTTCGAAGATTACATTATAAAATAGTGCTCCTGAAAAGTGCAGTGCTGGGTTTCCAGGGGTATCTAGTCAAATCTTGAGTCGAAATAGTCAATGTTATATGTACCCTATCATGCGTTTTTGTGACTTAATATTCAATGGCTCGAAAATAGGGTAGGCGGGCCCTGATGTAGTCGAAAACTGATTGTATTTGGAAGATCACCTTATAAAATAGTACTCCTGAAAATTTGAGCGTTGGGTACCGAGGGGTACCTAGTCAAATTTCGTTTATATATATTTAGTACAAGTTATAAACCAATGTGTGCTACGAGTGTGCTACTTACTAGGGTGTCCCAAAATTGCACTATGTCTGGTAATCTGGGGGCTCACCTTCCAACTGATAGCTAAGAGTGTCACAAACAAACTTTTGTATGGCGGCAACTCTGGAAAATGTTGTTTAGAGGTCGCCCCGAAGAGATTTTTGAAAAAGTCCATTTTTCATAGCTATTATCCAATTAATATTTTTAGTTCTTTAAATTTCAGTGAAATCTCACCCTTTTATATTTTTCTCAGATTCCCAAGGGTCAAAACTATAAGAGAAAAAATTGCTGCCGCATGTTCTGTGTCCAATTTGTTAGTTACAATTTTTAAAATTATCTAAAATGAGGTTTTTTGTTGTACATCACTGCATTCAATCATCAAAAGTGGGTATCAAACATAGCGCTATTATCAATCAAATGCAGCAAATATATGGGAAATTTTATAAGCAAAAACCTTGCCGAAGCTATGAAAAATGGACTTTTTTCAAAAATATCGTCAAGGCGACCTTTAAACAACATTTCCCAGAGTTGCCGCCATACAAAAGTTTGTTTGTAACATCTTTAGCTATC